ACTTGCTTGGATTATAATGGCCCAAAAGGGTAAATTTAGAATCTTATGTCCCAGAAGCAAAGAGAAATAGTAGTTATAAGTCTAGAATAAGGTGCTATTTACTCTTCTGAAAACATCCTATGGGTAATGTCTTTTAATGGGCATGGTCTGCATTTTCATGTCAGAAAACAACATAAGGGCCCTGGTAAAACTCTCTCCAAATAACAGCAAAATTGACCTGAATCAAACTTGCACTACAGATTCTTCACTAAGAAAATGTTAACTGTTCTCAAATAAATCTCAGAATATTCTGAGTCAAAAGAGACTTACAAGAATCATTAAGTCCAACTTCTATGTGGATGGCCTGTACAGGGATCAAACCCACAAACCTGGCATTAGCACCACACTCTAACCAATTGAGTTAATTGGTGGACCTCTGTCAAAAGCTGAATTTTGCAAATTGTCTCTTCAGCTGTAGCTTTGGATTCAAATAATCAACTAAAGATTCTGGAATTATTTGTAATGTAAAGGTCTTGAATATCATGGCTGACCTGATGCCTCATCTACTTCTTGTCATAGTCACTGCTATATTCTTCCTCTGATGCTCCTTTTTTTTTTTTCTAACCTGCATTAATACCATATATCTTTTATAAGAAGAAAGACAAGGCGAAATATTTCAGGTGTCTCTAAACAATATTTAAACTGCAATTTAACAAATATTTTACTTCAAAGCAACGTACAACATTAATGCACAAAACAGTAAAAAATATAGGTCAATAAGGAACATAACACACCTATATCAACAATAACATCATAAAAATGAAAATCCAGAATAGGAAATTAGAAAAACCCTAATCCCCATAATAAACTTGGGGAGGTGGTCTTCTTTTGGCATACAAAACCCACAGGTAAAAGCCACAACAGAAAATCATTTACATATGTATTTATTGATTTATTGAGAAGCAAACAATTTTATCCCTTACCAATTTAGGAACATTATCTGCATTTATAAAACAACAACAACAAAAAACCCCAACCAACCAAACTAAAAAAAAAAAAAAAAACAACAAAAAACTCCAAAAAAACCCCCCAAAAAACCAAAACAACAACAAAAAAAACCCAACCAAAAACCAAACCAAACCCAACAAAAAAACCCCTCACCTGTCTCAATTCTGACTCTACGATAGAGGAAATAAGCAAGCAGGAGTGATAGGAAAATGTCACAAACAGCTGCTGAAAGGAAAACATTTCTAACTTGTATTTTGACTTCGAGGAAAAAAAAATGAAAGACTGGAAAAGATGGCTGGCTGAGAGCTAGTGAGAAGCTTAGGAAGCCCAAAGTAACCCTAGGAAAACCAGATTAATGCACTATTCCCAACAACATGCAGCCATTCATTCTTTACTGTCTGAAGGAGAAGAGAGCTGCCCATTGAATTTCCAACAGGACTTCCTATAGTACACTTGCTTTTTTCCCCTCTCAGTACTGACCTTCTCCATTACTCTCCTGCCCATGGAATTTAATGTGATCACAGTCCAAATTGATTTGCCTGAAAAGAACTGTGACAAAGACATTACACCCCAGTTACCCTTGAAGAGTAACTAGCAAATGAACTACTATCACCACTAGCAGAAGTTCTCACTCCTAACTCCAGTATTGCAAAGTCCAAAGAGCAAAAAAGCATATAAAAGATTCCAATGTTTAAACAAAGCAAAACATTTCTTTGTTCAAGACTATGAAGCAGGGTTTTATTAGATTAGAAAAAAAATCTGATAACACAACAACAAATTCTGTTCCTTCAGGAGAATTCTTTCTACCTATTAAGTGACAGTATGTCCTATATCTTTTACACTTATCTGTATCTGCTGAAAGCTAAAAATAATGGTGCCTTTAGGAATTGTACCCTACCGAGTTCGTGAAAGATGACGTGAGGCATTTCTGTTCTATACATTTTATTTTTACACTGCTTAAAACTGCTGTTATTCCTGAGCCTGATTTATGGGTACCCTAGGGTACTCCTAACCCCTTTTGATGTTATTTCTACTGGAAACAGTTGACAAAAGCAGATCTTCCCTTGAGGATTGCACAGTTTTAGTATTTGTTTCAACTTCCAGCCATTTGCTCAACCTATTAAAGCTTCTTCAAAGACATAGAATAGCAACCCATCACCTTGAATGTTACAGAAAAAAAAAATGCATAAAGGCTGCCAATTCACATTAACTGCTGTAGATAAGCAGAATACATTGAAAGGCATTACACTACATGGAATACTGCCTATGGATTTAGCATAGCCTTTCAAGGGTGTTTGGCTTCCAACTATTTCACTCCAGTGGTCAGACTTGCATGGAAATATTTACATAAAATATAAACCTAAGGCAAACTAAGTGTATTTAATGTAAACTTAAGAATAAAAACCGGGAATAGATTATCATTGCTTCCACTTTGTATTTTTTCTATATAGCAGAGTACACTACTGCTTTATATAAGATTTGTATAAGCTTTGCTAACCTTGCTAAAACCATAAAAATGCTGTGCCAAGAATCTTGGAACTTAATTACTCTGCCTCTGGTGGACTGTCAATGATAAATTGATGGAAACACCACCTAGAGATATGGTTTATGTTGCAAACAAAAATACTTAAGAAAATTGCAAATAGTACCTCGTTGTCATCTTTTCCTGTTTGGTGTCTTGTTGCTGGTTTGGGGTTTTTTCCAGAAAATAAGGAAGAAAAATCTACTTTGAAGAACAGACACAAATTTCTTATTTTACTATAGTGAAGCTAATACAAAGTACTGGCTAATGTACCAAATACAGTTAATCCTCTTTTTCACATGAATGCTACAGAAGGATGAAGGTAAGTTTCACAAAATACTCTAGAGTGCCCTAAATGCTACTTTTCAACTTCATAAGCATATTAGCAAGTAATTTCCAGTACAATAACTTAAATATTTAACTAAAGTAAAAAGATTATGACTATTTATGTAATTTCTTGGAATTACATACAAATATTGCAAGAATGTTAGGTTGGAGAAAGTAAAGAAAAGTAAAGAAACCCCAAAAAACCTGAGTGGAGATTTTTTAAGTAGCTCAAGATTTTACAATGACCTTTTCATAACTGATAAATGTTTTCATTGTATGATCTTGCTCTTTCCGACAGTCAAAACTTAGATTTGACCCTCCTTAAAACTGGTAAAAGACAAAATCAGAAACTAAACCAATTTCTTGCACAGCTTTAATTGGAAAATTATGTCATCCACCCAAAGATACATGTGAAATTCTATTTTAACAACTAGCAGGATTTTCCATACAAAAAAATAAAATGGTAAAATAGTATCCTGGGTTTTGGTATCACCTACAAATGTCTAGTATTACACAAAAGTGCATGGGTGGCTTTTATAGCTCTAAAAAAAAATAAATCTAAATTCTGAAAGATAATCAGAATTTCATGTATGGATACATTCTAAAAAATTTAGAGTTATCATAGAAATGTGTATCAATATTTTGACATGATGAGACAGAACAAATTTCTTATATTTTGCTTCTTTTAATGTTACCCAGAAAGGGGATTTTAAATGAGTTTTTTTCCTTATGTTTTCTTGGTGGGTTTTTTTTTGGTTTTGGGTTTTTGGGTTTTTGTTTTGGTTTCTTTTGGATGCTTATTGTGTTTCTTTGTTTAACTGAAAACTTAACAAAAACATAGTAAATTCTCAGGAACAGACAACTTTTCCTGCAGTCCAGAAATATTTAGAGTTCTTGAGAACCCTGTGGACACAAGTCCCACAGATAAGTACTGTTTATGCCAAAAAGCTCAGCTATTCAGCAAGTTTTACCCCTTTGCTCCTCTTCAGTGAGTTCCTCTGAAACTTCCTGGGCCCCACACAGGAAATATGGTGACATGAATAACCCTTTTCCATTCCATCTTAATGCTAGGATAAAAAGTGCACTTTCACTGCAGATCTACAATGGTTGGGTTTCAGCTCCACGACCAACCCAAGCTGGCTATGATGAAGCACCAGGTGACACAGCTCTGTGCAGGACATCTGTCAGGCATTTCCATCTGGCTTGGAATTAGCCTTTGGCCCTCTTGTATTTATCAGTACAGACATGCACTAGGGGTCTGCACGTCAGTAAGCCAAACCATTCTCTTGCCCAGGGAATTTTTAGAAGGGACAGGAGAACCAGCCACTTTTGAGTACCTGAGTCTGCACCCTTGCTGCAAAATGCTGTCATACCACTTTGACAGAGACTGATATTTGTTCTTTGTTTAATCTGTACCTAAGGGCCAGTTCTGTAAATACACCACAAAGGATGCTTCCAAAACCGGCTCTTTTCAGAAGACACACACCATATGAATCAGTACAGAGTTCAAGTGTCCTTTGCCATTTCTCCCTTCTGACCAACAACTTTCTCTTTACACTTTTGTATAAAATATCTCCTAATCAGTAGATAAATGTGTTTCAGGTAATTTTTCACTACAATGATAGCTGTCTTTTTTGGGCAATTGGTTCTTAATCCATGCATTTTCAAGTAATGGATATTCTTGAATGTATGTGCTCAAATACCACATGCAAAGATGGATTACAGCATTTCAAACTACCACAAACACAAACATGAGAACAGATGCATTTCACTTTGATTTATAGAACAAACACCAAGAAGTTAATTTCTTCAGGAGCAGCCTGACCCCTCAAAAGTCCAGCTCTTTCCCAGGTTCTTGAATACATATTAGCAGAAAATATCTACAGTCAAGATAGTGTATCTTGAGCTCTCAAGGTTTTATTAGAACTAAAACAGTCAGATTTCCACTTGCAACATGACTAAGGTGCAAAAATATGAACTGCAATTTTACCAGCTAAACAAATAACACACCTGAAAATATGACCCATTTTTCACCATGCTACCAGGGAAAAAAATCCCAGCCTTTAAAAAGGAAAATAAGCAAAGAAAAAAGAGGCTCTTTGGAAGTGGTAAGTACTCTGAAGCAGTGAGACTGTACATCTCTGACAATTTTTGTTGTACTTACCTAATATCTGTGCATGTTATACATGTGATACAGCGGCTGTTTGTTGTAACGAGGTTCAAAGCCACAGATGTTTCACTGTCAGCGGTTGGGTGTGCTCCACATTTAAAGTAAAACTCCTGAAATGTTGAAGGAGAGATAAAGAGAAGATTACATACCTGCTGCTCAGGTCCTTCCTTTATCTTTGGTTAACTGACATTTGAGAGAACAGACAAATCACCACTGCCAACAGCAAAGGAGGACAGTCATTAGGAAAGGTTTACAAGGCATCCCTTGCAAAAATACCAGTCTGGGTGTGGATTCTGTTTAGCACCTTTCCTAGCAAAGAAGATACCAGTGTGACACATTCTGTGATCTTCTGGATTTATATATTAAAAAAAACCATTTCAGCTAGACTTTCTCTAATCAAAGGCAAAAATATCAATTTCAATATGCATTAATATTGCCACTATCTTTTCTTGTTACTGATATTACCATTTTCTGAACTCTACAACGTATAATTTTGGCTCTAAAATAATGAAGTCTGGCCTTGCTGGGACAGGATGAAGGAAAAAAAATATAGCTACTGTCCACTTTTTTAGAGTGAAGAAGTCACATCCAGGCCTCAGCATCAGGAACAATCCAAAAGCCGCCAAAGAGACATGCTAGGTGTTTGCTAGTGTCACTCCCAGCTCCTACCTAGACAATGGGGACACAAATTGCAGCACCCACTAATACATGAGTAAAAGAGAACCTGTGGGTGAATGGGAATGAAAAAAAAAATCAGTATTTTAAAATACAAAATCCCCTTTGTGATGTTGTTAATCTTTAAGATGCAATTTTACCATCTTAATAAAGTTCTACTTCTCTTGTAGCCCATATTACATCTGCAAGTGTACAGTGTTTGAATCAAGTTGCTTTAGCCTTTTAGACTGCCTTCATTAGCATAATATTTTTCACACAAATGTGTGTTTTCTTCTCTTTTCCACTGCACCACAGGGAAAGCCATATGAAGCACACTATTCTTTGATAAGATTTTGTTACAAGAAATTCTTCTAAGTGTCCAAATCATTGTAAGCACCCATAAAAAAAGCATTCTGAAGACACATGGTTTACAAAGGAGCTGCAGATTAAAGTTTGTAATTTCTTTGTTGCTATGAAATCTTCTTTCCAGTAACAAATTGTGGAGGTTTGTAATGAAACCAGGTATAAATAAATGTGAATTGGAACTTAACGGTATAAAAATTTTGGAAGAAAGGATAAGAAGGCATAAAAGAATGACAATTGTTGACAACATCAAGATACTAACATCGCAATTTATTCTCAAGAAACCTGGTCTTGGTGAAAAAATACTAAGAAAACAAGGAAAAAAACTCAAAAAAACTGCAGCAAGGGAAGAAAAAAAAAGGCAGAAAAAAATGAGCAGCAATTGCTAATGACTTTCAAAGGTGGGACAGGATGAAGAAAAAAAAAATTACAGCTACTGTCAACTTTTTTAGCATGGAAAAAGTCACATCCAGGCCTCGGCATCAGGAACAATCCAAAAGCCACCAAAGAGACATGCTAGGTGTTTGCTAGTGTCACTCCCAGTTCCTACCTAGACAATGGGGACACAAATTGCAGCACCCACTAATACATGAGCAAAAGAGAACGTGTGGGTGAATGAGAATGAAAAAAATCAGTTTTTTAAAATACAAAATCCCCTTTCCCTCTCTACGGCTTTGCACGATTTCCTGCAATACTGTACTAAATGCAGTCCAGACAGACTCCTACTTTCTCAATGCCTACAGCCTTGCAGTATGGAGTTCTTTGTCTGCAAAATAGCTGTCATTTATTGGTATGGGTTTTTTGTTTTGTTTTTTTTTTCTCAGTGGTGATGATAATTTAGCTATATTGTGTATTTCTACATAAGACAAATATAATACTATGCATTACCCTGCCACTCTAAAGTGGACTCTAGTAACTGGGATATGAGAAGTATTAATGTACCTTCCTCCCAGTTTAGTCACTCCTGTTTGTCACAAAAGTGCTGATATATGCAACAGATTCACCAACATATTCATACCCCACAGTAAGTGAAGGGCACAATGTCTGATGCATGTCTTAGGAGCAGTTTAAGAGAACCATGTGGCAAGAGCACAGTGTAAAGGCAACTCTATTCTTTAAAGAAATTGCTTAGAAGCCTTTTGAAATAAGTCACCAGTACACATTTCTACACAGCTAAACTACCTTTGTGTCCTGTTTCATAAGGAAGAAGTAGTCCCAGGCAAGAAAATATGCTTAAAGTCATTCTTAGACAAGACTTCAGACTTCCCAAGTTTTTGCTCTTGTTCAAGACACAGATATACACACAACTTTTAAAAATCAGCTTAACTTGAAGCATTTCAGCTTGAAATGAGTCAATGGAAGTACACATTCATTCGGAATAGATGATAACCTTAACCAATCTGTAACTTCAATTTATTTTTAACCTTTAAAATGTATCCATTGATCTTTGCATTATTTGCCAATAGGTTTTGGAGCTTAAGTTTCTTTGCCCTTTAATTTGAATTTATTTTGTTTGAATTAAATGTTAAGAAGGATTTATTTCAGTGCAGAAGATATATATTTCTTTGCTTCAGTACATCTTCTGCATACAACTAAAAGAATATTGACAAATCACAATTCCAGAACAGGTAAGCTATAGGCAAGGAAATACAAAAACGTTTTTGATAAAAGTACTTATCCAAGATAATCAAAACTTATTTAGATCACGAACAAAAAGAGTAATAAAGGTATTAAACTCTGAACCAATTGAAATAGATTTAGGTGTCATTTTGTCCCTAATGAGGATCTGTTTGGAGATTCTAATTGCTTTTGATAATACCTCATGATGGGTCTTGTCATGAAAGTTACTCAATGAAGAAGGTAAATAAAGTTATGCAATTCTTATTCCAAAGAAAGACAGACAGAGAAGGAAAAATAGTCAAGAGTCTTATGCTACAGTCCCAAAATACTTCTGCTATATCATTAGGAAAATTACTTCTCAATATTTCTATTTATCATCCCAAACACTGCTTTAAGAAAACCCCTCTAATTAAATTTATGATGTGCTTCAGTGTTGCTGAATTGAGAACATTATGGAACGTGAAAACACTGTTTAATGTAACAAAAGAAAATCTTGCCAGTTTCCAAAGCTACCCATTGAAAGACTCCCTGCTTGACTAAACTGCAATTAAAGAAATAGTAAATCTTAATATTAAATACAAACAGAACAGAGGGCTCATTAAAAATATAGGAAAAAAATCCCACAAGAATATGTGTCAAGTATTTTTTCAGAAGTAGTCCTGAAGATTAAAGAATAAAAGAGTTATTCAGAACAGATATGTTGTGAGTATTAGCAGTATACCCTTAGAAAATCAAACACTATCAACCCACACAAAGCACAGTTCTACACAATCAATACAATAGTCTGTCTCTGGAGATCTGAGGCCTAAAAGCTGTGCTGGGAGTTCAGAAGTACAGGGAAAGTTTGGAACCAAATATGCAGTATGCCCTGAGTGCCTGACAGTTCTGCAGTAGTGTGGACTTCATTTCCAGATTTATTTGAATATTTCTTTTTCTCTGCAGTAATACACATCCCATCTGTTTAAAAGCTTTTAAAAGTCATGAAACCAATTAAGTTTCCAGCTGCATATGAAAGTTTATATTGCCTGGTTTTGCACGTTGCATGAATACACAATCCACAAGTATTTATTTGTTCAATCTACCAGATTTTCCAGAGACTTAACACACTTTTTTTTATGCCAGGGCATATACCTATGAAGTTTTCACTACAGGTAAGCCATCAGCACAAGTTGCTTTTTAATTGCTTCCAGCAATGAAATTACTGAAAGCAAAATATAAGACTGAGGAGTGTAGCCACTTTTCACTCTTCAGACTTGCATTTCACCAGGCATGTAAATGTAGCTATTCTTTTATTTAGTTATTCACCTGGTGTTTGGAAGCCTAAGGAGGGAAATTTGCCAGATTTTTTAATCCAAATCATTTCTGTTCCAATGTTAATCTCTGAACAGGCATAGGGACCTAGGAGCCAGCCAATTTAAGACTAACATTCTAAATTAGCCTCAAACTCTAAAATTCATACAAGCAGTAGTTACTTAATGTTGATATCAAAATGTCTCTAAACTAATTCTGTATGTGATAGTATTTTCATAATGTTGACTTTATATTAAAAAAAATCCCCAAACCTTACAGAATAACACAGAAGGAATGAGCAAAAATTCATGCAGTCTACACCAGTATCTGACTACTTCTAATACTTTAAATATTTTAAAATAGAAGAAATCACATTATTCCTCCTTTCTGCACATGTGGTTTTAGGTACAAAAAACTTTCTGACAATTGTAAGTATTGCTGTTCAGCAATGAGTAAGGATGTCAAGGAATTACTGCAAAAGCAGAGACAAAATTTAGTGCTTTTCTTAGTTCTAAAAGTGAGCAGTTTTATGGTCACCTTCTACTGCAGTGAATACCTTTAGATCATTTTCTTGCCTAAAGGCATAGGTCCCATGAAATTGTGAACATTCTATTTAACACTATAAATGTCTTCCTTTTGGCAGTGTTTCTGATAGATTGTTATTCAGAGAAGGGAGCAAGCATCACTCTTACATACTCTGTCATATTCTTCACTCCCGTCATCGCTTTTGTGTCACACAACATCATAAAAAGTGCATGAGGGAAGAAAAGGTTCAAAGATACATGGTCAATGTTAGCTCCTTTTTATAAAACTCAAGAATAAAATGCTCAAATTTTTCAAAACACCCCCAAATCTTCTTTGATATTCTACTAAAAGTATTTCTCTGTAAACTCTGTCTTTTCAAACAAACCAGGGATTTACATACCCCTAACTGCTGATGATAACTGAACTGTCTTCTATATGGTCAAGTAACCAACAGAAGTAAGATCAAAGGCATACACAAACCATCAGGGGAAGGCAGTCTGAAAAAGGCCTAGAAGAAACTTTACCCTTTTGATATATATTCTCAAGTCCAGTTTACCCCACTGTGAGAAAAAACCCACTAGTCTTGACTAGGTATCACCAAGATAGGCTGCACCTTGGCTGGTGTACAACATATACACATAAAACTACATGTTCTTCC